GGGGGGGGGGGGGGGGGGGTGTCAAAAATACGGATAAAGTGCGTTACGTATTTTAAGGGCGGCCCCCTGAAGCGGTTGACTCAGTCATTTTCGCTCACTAAAGAACCCGGCTGTTGTCCAAAACGTTCAAACATTCTTTGTTTTAAGCTCATGAAACAGCCCGATGCATAATTTTGATTTCCTGAAGTTCAAAAGTTCAATATAAAAATTCGATATGAGCTGGAATCGCATCGTTGGACGATTAGACAGGTCCTGTAAGTTACGAACGTATGTGCGGCTGAAAGTCTGGAAATGTGTCTTCAAGCACAGCTTTTAACAACATTTCACAATTTTTTGCGCGTTTTCACGTAATCAGCAAGTTCCCTTCGAAAAAGTTACCACGCATCCTTTCCAGGGCCGGATTAAAGGGATGGCCACATGGGCCGCGGCCCATGGCGGCCAATTTAGGGGGCGGCAAATTTGGCCATTTTTTTAAATGTAGGCATAAAGAAAAATCGGATTCAGAAAAAAAAATACGAACGGGAAAAGATTACAAAATCTCTCATTTCCTGATAGTATATCTCTAATTTTGTCGTCTTTCTGTGATAAGACAACACCTTTCATTAGTCGAGTCAAGACTAATTGTAAGAGAGAAACCGAACATGGAATTTGCCCTGGAACGGCACGGCGCAGAGAGCAATGATGACGAGAACTTGAGATGAAAAGGAGAAACCCTCAGTGCGGCGTACACTTGTAACACATAATAGCGCCTACAAGACTGCATGAATACTTTACGCATTGCGTCAGGGACAGTGCGGTCGCTGCGGGCAGTAGTGGACGGCGTGGAACGCATAGCGCATACAAGACTGTAGGAATACTTCACGCATTGCGCCAAACACAGTACGGTCAGCGCGGCGGCGGAAGTTAAAACTATTAAACCATATTTATGTTTGTTCTTTCATAATTTTTTCGTTCATTTCATACGAATGGAAGGCATTTTCCACATAGAGAAAGGTTTACGGAATTACTTAATTTTCGCGCCAAGTTCCGTAAACTTTTGCTAGTAGTGTTGACAGGGCTTTCCCAAAAAATGTGTCCAACACGAGTAAACGCGTCTTATGCACCCCTCCTCCTCCGGCATGTTCATTTGATGGTTTTTATTGATGTTTCAAAACGAATGAGAAGAAGGCGGCAAAATACAGGCGGCCCATAGGCGGCAAGTAAGTAAATCCGGCCCTGATCCTTTTCCCTTCGTTAACTTTGCCGCATTCGTAGCCTTAAAGATTCGCTCTCATTGCAAAACATGCGTTTCGCCAATTGAAGTTTCCGGCAAAAAACATTGAATGGATTGCATTTTGCAAAAGAGAACCATAAGCATTCCAATGTCGCTAAGATTGTGCAACTTTTTTCAGCTTGCGAAAATAAACTGATCATCTAAACAAGTGTTATCGTAACTCCCAATGAGCTCAAATTCAAGGCAAAAATTATCTTTGTAAATTCAAGTTTTTGCATGATTGCAGTAGTTAATTTTTTTGCAAAGAATGTAAGTGCCAATAAGTTGTACAATCCTAGCAACATTGGAATGCTCTTAGTTCCTCTGTGCAAAATTCAATCCAAATAATTTGTGCCAGTGGTGAAGATCTCTAAATCTCTGATGTAGTTCAGCATATTCAAAATTTGAAGTAACAATGTGTTCATGCATCCAACAACTCGCATTTGTCGGTTCGCCCACTTATCTACGCCGCGTTAAAGTCTCTGCGGCGATTCGCGCATTTTAATCCAATTAAAAAAAAAAGAAAAAAAAAAAAAGAAAAAAAAAAACACTTGGGTTTAAGTTGGATCATATTTTGCAATCGAGGAACTACAATTTCTGGCTAACACTCTGAAACCAGGGTGTCTACAAGTCCGGAAATAGTACTGATTTTTCAAGGGCGGTCCTGAAGTACTGATCAAGTGCGGGCATTGCGCATGAAGGTCCGGAATTTTTTGTCGCAATTTGAGCGAGGAATTCAAATTTTTGAAATTTTTCGAATGTCATCATTCGGAGGTACTGAAAAAGAACTGAATTTTTCTGTTGAGGAGGTACTGGGTTTCTTGGGAATGTACTGAAAACGTACTGTAAAAGTACTGATTTTTGGCCAGCCTGTTTTAGCAGACACCCTGGAAACCTATGGGAAAGAATCGCTGAAAAGGGTGTTTGCAACGAATATCTTAATAATCGATTTTTACCAAAGCTTCAAATGGGGAAATAGCGACAATCGATCATTCACGCCTCGCCACTCTCTTGGCCGTCTGTTTGAGTGCTCCGTCTGTATTTATGAAGTTGGATCCGGATCTCGGTTGCCCAGTGACGTTTAACGTCTGATTTGTGGGTGGCTTTTCCACGTCCACTCGTGGGTCACTGCCTTTTTATTCGATTGTTGAATCATTATCGAATGGACTTGATCGGTAGATCCCTATCTTGGCAATGTTATTTTTCGATCAACTTTCGATAAAGATTCAATAATCAACCCGCTACCGTCCGTGTTGTCACATCGAACGACCAAGGCAGACCCCTTACGTCCTGAACAAAAATTGAACCGATTATTCTCCAGATGACGTAAGCGCCAATTAGTTTTTCAAGTTTTAATTAATTATCATTGCGTATTTTACCAAGATGCATCTTACAGCAAAACGACGTTTAAGAATAACAGTATTTAAAGCCTTAAAGGAGCCTTTAAATCTAGTATTTTTACATACTGCTTGCAGTCCACTAATACGTATAGGTTTTTCTCCAAATTGTGTCTATTTGGCATGCATTGTTTGGAAGGTATTGGTTTCACTCCTTTGATGTCACTTGCAATTTTCCCCAAGATCGTACATCCATCCTGCTATTTTCCATTGAAATTTTGAAAAAACGCAACTTTTGGGGTTTACGGAAGGCAGTCCCTCGAAAATTTATTTTTCCCCCTTATAAAGCAAGTTTTTGAGAATCAAGAACTTTCCCGTTGGTTTTCTCGAGTTAATTCGGCAACGTCTTCCATAAATTAACGCTCAGTCCGCTAGATAGCGTGCGCTGTGTGTTTTCAAACCTCGCCGAGATCCTGCGGGTTCCACCTCGTTGATTCGCCGTTCCACCGATAGGTAGCGCTC